TGTGGAACCGGGGGGCGATTAGAAAATTTTACTACTAACAGAGATATAAAAGTGGGTGGTAGGTATAAAAAGGTTGACTACCCCTGCATTAGAACCTATAACTTTTGGAGAGACTATGAAGACCATAGCCAAACTTCTGACTGTAGACGCCAAACTTTAACTTCATTTCCTTCTGAGTAAATAAGAGTCGTCTAAGAAAGTAACCTCAAAAATGTCGTGGTGGGTTTCAATTTATTTTACTAATGGTTTGCTCGCGCTCACATGCGCAACACTTCTGCATGTGGCGAGAAGCATCCAGGCGGGAGGGCAGAGCCTCCCGCCACCGCCACTATCAGTTTGCCCAATCAGGGGGGAACCAGCAGAAACCCACCTCTGCAAATATGATATTGTTAGCTTCAGGACTGAACAAGGAAGATGGAATCATAAACTTCACTTAAATGTATATCTAATAATGTGCAACTTTTGCTTCCTTGAAACTTGAAACAAAAACTGTCTATGCCAGGGCTGTCAAACTCCCGGCCCACAGGCCGGATGTGTGACATGCTGGTTATGCCCAGTTTAGTGGGGGGGGAGTTCCAATACATCATGTGATACTGCTGTGATGATGTGAGTTTGACACCCCTGGTCTATGCCTATCACAAACCTCTTGAAATTTTCCTCAGTTTTCCAAAGGATGAATAATCCTGTGTCATTGAGGGTTGCTTTTCACAGCACCTAACCTGAACATTTTTAAATTTTTTTAAATTTTTTGCACAAATCATAAAACCAAAGAATAATATTGGGGAAGAAAGCTAGCTGGGGAATTCTGGGAATTGAAGTCCACAAATCTTCAAGCTTCTAAGGCTGAGAAACACTGTTCTATACAGTAGTATATATATATATAACCTTTGAAAGTGACACTTCGTTGTTGCTAGGGTCATGTATCTAACAGAAAAAAAATGCTTTTCACTCTAGTTTTGGCTGGGTAGCAGAAGGCTATGTTGTAATTCCCCGGATAACTCCAAATGAAAAATGTGGGAAGAATAAAACTGGGATTGCCATCTGGAGAATGGATGTAGAAAAGAAAGCTCGTGTCTATTGTTACAATTCTTCAGGTAAGTGGGATGAGATATGGATTATAATAATATTTAGTATCGGAGAATCCCTCCTAAAAGAGTTAAGGTAATAATAATTGTAGAGATTTCCATACTGCTAGAAGATTGTGGCCAACTTCCAATGTACACAGGTTCAGGATACAATAACTTCCTGGGAAGCCTGAGAAACTCAGAAATTGCCAGTTAAACTATTAACAAGTCAGCTAAGCCACTGTTGACAAGTTTACCTGTTTTTTTCCCTTAGTCAAAGTTTGTAGCATGGAAGAACATTATGAAATTTAAATTGCTTTAAAGGTGACCAAAATATACTGTTTTCTGATTTAAAAAGTTATACAGATAGTCCTCAACTTACAGCCACAATTGAGCCCAAAATTTATGTTGCTAAGTGAGAAATTTGTTAAATACGTTTTGCCCCACTTTTTACAACTTTTCTTGCTACAGTTGTTAAGTGAATCACTGCAGTTGTTAAATTAGTAACATTAAGTGAACCTGGCTTCCCCATTGCCTTTGCTTTCCAGAAGTTCACACAAAGTGATCATATGACCCCAGGACACGGCAACCGACATAAATATGAATCTGTTGCCAAGCATCCGAATTTTGATCATGTGACCATGAACATGCTTCAATGGTCATAAGTGTGAAAAATGGCCATAGGTCACTTTTTTTCAATGCTGTTGTAACTTCGTTGTTTGTTGTTCAGTGCTGTTGTAATAGTCATATACATGTTGTTGTAAGTGAACTGTTGTAAGTTGAGGACTACCTGTATTGTATTACGGTTAGGGATGGGTCACCATTAATATTTGCAGGAAAGTCTTCTGAAGTTGACTTCTCCTGCTGGGAAGATGACCTGTTTATGGGGGTGGTCCTTCATCTGCTTGGCTCCCAACTTATGGGTTGCACTTTATGGGGGATCTGCATTTGTCCACACTCTCTCAGAGATACAAAACCTGTAAAGACACATAGCAGCTCTACCACAGGACTTGCTAATCATTAGTTTCACTACAGTAGTATATTTTTTCAAATATTCATTACTTTACGTAGAAGGATGGATTTTAAATCAAGGAAATAAAGAAATCCTTTGAAAGAGCATTACAAAAAGAAGAAAACTGCAGAACGATATGCCCTTTAAAATAATCAAAATGGACCAGAATAAAGAGTACTGTAATCTCATTTATATTTGCAAGGAACCTGGAGTTCCTATGTTGTCATCTGGAATTCTCCCCATAACTTATGGTATCTCAGTGGCATCAATTGATGGAGAAGTACATCTCTTCATCAGAAATGATTATATAGTATCTCTCTGGAGATTTGGTCACTTGGACAATCTAGGGTGGCAATCAGCGGTGAGTTACAGCTGGTACGCGCTGGTACGGGCATACCGGTACCTGCTGGGAGCACCAGGTACTATTCTGATACGGTGCTCCGGAGGGCCCGCCTCCCCGCCCANTGAAACGGAGATGAGCACCGCCCCCTAGAGTCAGGAACGACTAGCACATGTGTGTGAGGGGAACCTTTACCTATTTGGATTTATTTGGGAGGGTCTTGTAATTCATTTATCATTTTAGACAGGTACGACATTACAAAGTTAGAAAACCTCTGTCACCCTATGGAAAAGAAGAGCAATTGCTTGTTTCAAATATTGTAAAGCTTTAGGAAGTAATGATCTTTTCCAAACTACATTTCTCCGACCACTTGTGTTAGTGTATGGTGTGTATCCACTGCTTGCTATACGGTATATTCCCCAAATGTAAACCACTGTCTGCATTTCACGCTGTTTACGAGGTGTAACAGGAAGGATTTTCCCTTCAAAGAAATGTTGGCAGCCTGAAGATAGATGAGAAGTCTGTCACTCATAGACAAATAAATTCAACAGTGAGATGGACTCCGATAGCTCTTGGGGCTTTTGACTTCAGACTGAGTTTGTCAGTTTTGCAATTCAAGGGTTGTTCAGAGGCGATCCTCTCCCTCATAAAAAAAGAACACACACACATAAAATACATATATTTTTTTAAGAAAGCTTCACTAGAATACATCTATTTGGAGATATGGCTAATGAAAAAACTCTGTACAGATTCTCAGTCATCCAGGTCATAGTTGTCCCAAAGGTGCTTTTTTCAGGAGGCAACTGGAGTTTCTTTTTAAGACGTTTCACTTCAAGAAGCTTCTTCAGCTCTGACTGGATGGTGGGAAATGGAAGGATTTTATACTCCTTGCAAACAGCTGGTCATTTGCATCCTTTTAGAGGGTCGTTGAAGCACCTGGAGGTTTATCTCTGTCCTCAAAGTCACCTGAGTGATGCTCCTGGTTCCTGTAGTCTGCATTTTTTTCCTCTGAAAATTCATTCCCAGTGGGAATGCTGTGGGAGTGGGAATGGATTTCCAGTGGAAAAATGGCAGACTATAGGAACCAGGAGCACTACCAGTTCAGGGGTGTGGTAAGCCTGGGTCGCTGCCGGTGACCCAGGCCACCAAACCACTACTGGTTCGGCCATATTGGTTCGAACTGGTAGGAACCCACCGCTGGTCACAAGACATTTTTCAGATGATCTGTTGCTGCTTTAGAGATTCTGCAAGCCCTTTCCATTCTTTAAGGTATAAGTATTTATTCACCTCTCCTCTTTATCCGTGCCTTAATAGCATTGCAGTAATATATTTGAGTTGAGTAGATTTCCCCTTTCTTTCTGCCATCTATTGGATCCATCTCCCGGGCAATATTTTCCTTTCTGTTTGCTCTTGTGTTTTGGTGCAGCAGTATCTATCTATTTAAAAAAAAAACCCGACTGGTGTGAAATCCATTTCTTTCTGAGCTAGCCTTGAGTTTACTGAATCAGCTTGCAGGGTTGAAGGTGGAAAAGGATCGAGGGGACGGGGATCAGTGGTGGGTTTCAAAAATTGTTCGAACCTACTCTGTGGGTGTGGCCTCCTTTATGGGAGTGGCTTGCTGCCCATGTGACCGGATGGGAGTGGC